AAGAAACAGCATAATTAAATAAGAGAAAGTGTGGCAGGCCAAAATTCTAAAAGGAATATAAATGCAGGCCTGACACATACATCAGTTTTAATAGCAATAGCACTTAGACTTATATACCGCTTTACATTTCTTTACAGCCCTCTCTGAGAAGTTTACAGAGTCAGCATATTTTCCCCAACAATCTGGGTCCTCATTTTACCCACATCAGAAGGCTGTAAAGCTGAGTCAACCTTGAACCTGGTGAGATTTGATCTGCCAAATTGCAGGCAGCCAGCAGTCAGCAGAAGTAGCCTGCAGTACTGCATTCTAACCACTGTGCCACCACAGCTCCTAATTCATTGCTTTGCTAGCTTTCAGTAGCCAACCTGAGGGGACCTGCCCAATGTTTGTAGCTGCTAATCTGCAGAAGAGGTTTCTTTCTATACTCTTCAAAATAACAAGAAGGAGATCACTTTCCACGCCAGTGTGAGGATTCCCCACTTCTTATCTCAATGCTGTGCGCCTGAACTCCATTACCTTCTTAGACCAAAACTGACACACACACACACACAATGAGGATCACATCTCTCTTGGTCATCTTGTTAGTGCAGATTTGGAGTAGTTAAAGATTAATTTTAAAGCATACCTCTGCTTTCTTTTTCAACAAAGGAAACATCAATTATAGGCTCCCACATAAACTCTGCCCCTTCTTGAATATTTGCTGCCCTTTATAAATCTTAGATTTCTTCTCCTAGAGTGTGTTCAAAGGAGAGATTTCATTGCCTCCAGGGGTTGTTAAACTGATTGCAATACCACGTATTTAGAGCAGTTCAGTGGGAATTAAGCTGGTTCACTGCTGTCAGAGCTAGAATATAGCTGTCAAATAGCATTACAAGTAAAACACCCTTGATAAGAAATAATGACCAAATGTCAATCTTTTATTCACTGGTAGCACTACAGGCTAGCTGGTGAAAAATGTAATATTTTAAGTATTATTGCTGCCACTCTTTTAACATTCTGCTACTACAACTGTATCATTGTTTCTCTGTCGCTTATATTTAGGCATTATCTAACATGATCCAAGAAAAGTACTTAGGTCAGTTGCTGCAGTAAAATATATCGGACCTTTTGGAATTCATATAGCTTTCGAAATATAACGCTACTTTAAAAAACATGGGATGCTTGAATTCAGAAATGGAAAACACCCTTGATCTGGTTATTAAATATTGATAGCCACAAAGATTGCAACTAAATCCAGTGCCAATGTTACTGTTGTCCTTTTGTTTCTGCTGTTCTTCTAGCACTCGTGGCATTAGAACTGAAAATAGAAAATTAAGAATACAATCCTGTGTACGTGTATACAACAATTCATTGAATTTGTTTCATTTTTCAAGAAAGGAGGGGTAGGGCTAAGTTCCACATCACCAAAGATATTTTAAAAAAACAACAACTGTGTATATAAAATGTGCAAGTCTTGGATGAAATCAATATACATATGTTTAAATATTCATTTACAAAGATTAGTGAACCTGCTATGTCCTTAATTTTTAAATTTATTATTAAATTTTTATGCTGTCCACCTCCCTGTTCCTGGTTTTTTAAGCATTTATCAAATGAGATAAACCAAAAATGTGCAATATTTATTTTCATGAATATTAAAATATACCAGTAATACCCTTATTTAACCAACAACAATCTTGACCTGTACAGTAATCTATAGTATACAGGCATTCGCTGATTTTTTTAAAAAAGGTCTTTGGGAAAAGACAACTCCTTAGATAATATTTATTGCCTGTTGAGACATACAAAGAACTCCTAAAAAGCTACAAACAAAAGTGAGACAGGCAGCTGTTATTCCATCCCACCAAATAAAAATTATGTTATATATTTCAATACTAGATATATTCATCCAAGAACCACTGTCTAGGTCAGGGGTAGTCAACCTTTTTATACCTACCACCCACTTTTGTATCTCTGTTAGTAGTAAAATTTTCTAACCGCCCACCGGTTTCACAGTAATGGTGATTTATAAAATAGGGAAGTAACTTTACTTTATAAAATTTATAAAGCAGAGTTACAGCAAACCCCTACTGCCCACCATGAAAGCTGGAACGCCCACTAGTGGGCGATAGGGACNTGTCAAATTCACCGTGTCAGGTGACATTTTGCAATGTTTTTCCCCTTCGCGGAGCTGGGGTCGGGCCGCCAGTTTGACACCCCTGAAATAGAACATTAGCAAATAAATATCTAAAGGATCAATTTAACAGTTATTAAAGAACTCCATCCTATTATTGCAATTGCTGAACAATGTATCACAAGGAATATAGGCAAGAGATTTTTCGGAGGACCTTCATCATTTAAAAGTGAGAACAGCCAATTCACATCTAGGGTTGGAGATGGAAGCAAATTAACCCTTATTGGAAGTCAGGACAATAACTGTTGTCCATGCTTCCACAGGTTACAAAGGCAATACGATTGTTAGGAAATTTTACATCAACACAAGCGCAAATCAGGCAGTGCTCATTTTTCACTAAATTCTTGTTTTGTTTTCCACTGAATGACATAGGCAACAATGTATGTTGACTTCAATAAAACTATCTAAAATGATTATGCTTAAAAAGGGAAAAAACGGAATACATTTGTTTGCGCAAAGTATCTTTCTCAGAAAGTTGACAATGGTCAACACACCTGTTTCAAAAATTATTTTGCAGCTTAATAGACGAAGTTTTCTTTGCAATACAATCGATATCTGTGGATTTAAATACCCAACAGGTATTATGGTACAAAAAAGTTTAAGATCCCTTTTTTTTTCATAACAAAAAATTCATGATTAAGGTAAAATTAAGGTCAGAAAAGTTAATTTCTACACAATATCCATTTAAAGTTATAGAGGACATTACAGAAAACGAAGTGTTTTCATTTAAAAAAGAATGTGCCATACACATAAAAAATTGTATTACAGGCAATTTTCCTTTTTCCCACGATCATTTCTAAGTGCGGCCAGTATTTGGAGAGTAGAATGAAGACAAGTGAGCCCAACAGCAGTTCATGTTCCAATTCAGTTTTATCAAGCAGTGAGGTAGGCCTCCATAACCAGGCTTTCTTTCAAAGTAGGTTCCACTTTAAAGAAACAAAGTGTTTGTCTTCCTTGGTACTCCTCACCCAAAGGAACTCACTTCTTTCATTGGTTGCTATTGTTTCTTCTAAAGTGTAGCATAAATTGCACAACCAGCAATAAATAAAAGAAAGCTACTAATATACACAAAGTATTATAAACTTAACATATAATGCTTAAAACTAGAATATACCAAAGCATGCAAAATTCTAGAATCAAGGAATAAATAAACCTAGCAACTTTTTAATGCAGTTTTGATGGTTTCCCCATTTCAGCCGGAATGTATTAATATCGTATATAACTCCTATTTCTAGGGCACTCTAGAACTTCTTAAATCTAATATTTTATTTGAATAGGCTCCTTTCATTAAAAGCCAATGTGTGTGTGTGTGTGTGTGTGTGTGTGTGTGCACGCGCACACAGGCATGTGTATCTTTTAGCAGAGATTTAAGATGCAAAAGGGAAGATCTACGATAACTTGAAAGGATAATAAAATATGTATATTTTATCAGGGTCAGATTTGAACTTTCATTTGCATTGCTTTCTTTATTCTGGAGCTTGTTTGCATGTACACCATTTCTGATGTAATATTTTCCTATAGTTATCATGGCTAAGCCCTTCTATTCAGTTCTAAGGAGACAAGCTAATTTTGTTCCTGCACTCTTCCAAGAGTAATCTTTAAGATTTTTTAAAAATTTAGGACTTTGTAATATGTGTGGGTTCAACACATGAAAGCAAATCATTCATAGACATTTCCACAAATCAAATGATATTTTTAAAATATAAATCCTGCCTTGTGGCTTTTCTTAATGTAAAAAGAATCCTTTAGACCAGGGGTTCTCAACCTGTGGTTCATGGACCCCCTGGAGGGGATGCAATGCCATCACAGAGAGTCTACAAAGGCTTGAAGAAATCTTATGATCTGAATCTTGAGTTAAGTATTCGGAGTCCGTGGCCACAAAAAGTATTTAAAGGGGGCCTGTGGTGAAGAATGACTGCATTAGACCATATTTCAATAGTAAAATGTGCAGTTTAAGTGAAAAATCATAAATAGTGAGAGTCAAGTAGCTTTTACTTATATTAAAAAGGGCCAAACGTGCATTCACCCTTACATTCACTAATTTTTCTCCTCAGCACTTCTATTTTTTCTTTTACAGGCAACAGAAAGTAACAGCACTTTTGGAATGTAATAGTTGCTAAGAAAATCTAAAAGAAACTCAATCAAGGACAACTGACCGACAGATTTACTGTGAGATGCTCAGTATAAATAGATTCTATGAATACTGATCAAAGTTGTGAAGATATGTGTAAAAACACTATTAATTAGTTATAAATGAAAATTAAAATTTTAGATTACACTAGAAAACTAATGTACTGTATTTCAGAGCAAATATTTACATGTTGGAAATGAAAAAGGCCCTATTGTTTAATAGGCTAAATTTTGCTGGGCCTACAATTAAAACTGGACATCATGTTTTCTAAAATGTTTTATTGTTACAAACAAGTAGATTGAATCACACATACACACAAAAATACAAGTCATAACATGTACTTTACAATGAGTGATACAGTCCAGGAGACAGGCACACTCACGACATAATTCTATATTTAATAGGCTTCTAGAACTATTTACCCTGCATTTAGTTAAAACGCTTTGTGGTGAAATGATTTAAACTTACTACTTTATTTATATCCAAATCTTAACATCAAGAAACAAAAACAAAAAATCAATGTTCACAAGATACACAATATAGGAAGTTCTAACAGCGAGATCACTAGAAAGGTTCTATTAAAAATTTTTAAGCAAAAGTGAAAACAAAGCGACTTCTTCAAATGAAGTACATGCAGAGGGTTGACAATAACAATAATCTTGTTGTAATTGCTAATAAATTTTACAGTTAGCCATATGAACCCGAAAAATAAAAGTAGGACTTCCCTCTGCTTGTGCAAAATATTTCCTATTTAATTATCTTCCGTTTGGTCCAGGGTGAAGTCAGTCTGTTCTTCTGCTTCTTCTTCTTCCTCCTCCTCTTCTTCCTCTTCCTCTTCTTCGGCTTCAGCTTCAGCTTCAGCTTCGGCTTCAGCTTCGGCTTCTTCTTCCTCTTCGTCCCCTTCTGCCTCTTCTTCCCCTTCTGCCTCTTCTTCTTCCTCCTCTTCTGCAGGTTCATTTGCCTTTTCTTCTTCTTCTTCTTCTGCCTGCTGTTCTGCACTTTGATCAGTGACTTCAAATGGATTTTCACCCTAAAAAGCAGTAATTAAAGTTAATCAAAAAACGAACTATTCACTGAAATATGTACTGACAGGAATAAAAATAAATAAATCTAAAATTGGATTCTCAATTCATGGTGAAAACAAGCAGGAGTAGCTTCAATATTTACTTATACAGTTTATATGGCCATCTACTACTTCACATGGTGGCTAACAATATTTAAAATCAAAATGCAAATAACACAAAACCACAATTACATTTCATGCTATATTTTCTCGATTTTGTTCCACTAAATTTAGACTACTTTACAATCAAGAACATATAATAAGCATAATTCATGTACCGATCATATAAGTCTATTTGCAGTGTTCTTTGTAATTCATTCAAACAAACCACACATTTTTAACTGATATACTGTACAGTATATCTCCAACCACTTCTTTCCAATGGCTTATTTTTTAATCTGGAATACCTAGAAGTTGCAATACAACTCAGTGCAGAACTCAAAAGTTCTAGTGCCATTATTACTGAAATTAAGTGTATTACCTACAAAAACAATACACTGAGTAGGGCAGAAAGTACAACTATGTTTCCTTATCTAGTTCTTCTAGACAGTTCAACTAGATGAGACATAAAATCCAGACATTGTAACAGTGTAGCTTAACAGCAGCAATCAAAGATTCAGAAGGATAAATTTGACAATTCCATTGTACTTCCTAGATCAAACATCATGAAGCATATTGAATGGTGAAAATATGTTATCCTTTATTTACATGATAAACTTAAATTCTAGAATAATCCAGTTTGAAAATAGAAAATATCAGTTTTCCGTTGGAAGTCAGTATTTTTTAATGTGCATTTATTTAAATAATTTATATGACTACCCATCTTGCAACAGTGACTCTGGGCAGCATGCAATAATTAAAATCAAAACTAGCCAATAAACCAATTGTCATCAAGTTGTTAAACTACCTGGCGTATTTCGAAAGGAGCAAAAGCAGCAAAAACAATTACTTTTCAATGCCATTAAGACAGACAAAATGAATTTTGGATCATTCTAATATATTCCCTTTTTATGAGCTAGCTCTCAACTAGTACAATGAAAAGAATGATCAGCATTTTTATCTTAAAATTTAATTACGTCACTTGTAACTTTCTGGGTTTTTCTGTTTGTTTTCCTGCTTGTCTTTGGCTTCTTTTCCTTTTATCATACATTAAAATTATTCTAAAACAAATTTTAAAAAATACATTTGGAGCAGCAACTGACACATGCAATTTTAAAATTTGTAGAATTATGCTGAAGAAGCTTCTTGGATGAGAAGCAAAATGTCTTCAAAGAAAAACTAGAAAGTTCAGTTGCCTCTTGAAAAAAGCACCCTTGGGACAATTATGCAACATACTTATTACGCTTGCTTCAGAAATATTTTAACGTAAAATATATACTACCTTAATGTATAAATATATTTAGTGGATTAATCTATTAACATTAATTTAATTTTCCAGCCTTTCCTTCTATTAATATGTGAGCTACATTTTCAGCAACATCAAATGTAGTTTTGGATTTGTTAAATACAAATAAATTAATTTCATATCAATTTTAATCATCACTGTTGCTGCTGATGGTAAAATTAATCCATATTGCAAACTTACCTTAACATAACGTTCATACCGTGCCTTCACTATGGGGTTATTCAAAATACTGGTAGCAGTTAGAACGCTTTCTCTTTTAATTTGTTCTTTGTAAGTCTGTAAATATTCCAAAGCAACATTCAAAAAATATCACAACAAAAGTTGAGTTAGCCATATATATCAAGTTGTCACTGAAGAAAAAAAATAATCTCAAAAAAAGTTGAATTCTTACTAATTCTTGTAAATCTAAATATCTGTTATTACTATCTATACTGAAACTGATCAAGAAGGGACTACAACTCATTACTAATTCTATGGAATCTCAAGTGTTGAAAAGTGGGAAAGGCATGTTACGGAACTGATCATTTTGAAAGGCCAGGGCTGCAAACAGCCATAAACCCTTATATGTTAAAGCAGCTACAGTGTTTAGGCTGATAAAATGGGGAAAAAACTTAAATATGTATGCATAGAATTTCATTAACTGATTTTCTCATATTTTTAGATATCTGAACTAAACCTGGCTTTACTTTAAAGGTATGTTCTGATACGCCCCGAGACCTTGAAACCAATTTGAGGAAGGAAAGAAGTGGGTACTTCTTTGAAAACTGCATTCTACTCATTATACAAACTTTCTATTTCAACATCTCTTTTCCACCCCATTTTGTCCTTATGCAGTTATGACAAACTTAATAAGAACTAAAGAATTGTGTGCACCTGTGCTCTAAAAAAAAAAAGTGGACAGTTTCTCCTCATTTAAAAGTTCTAATTCCAAGCCACCCTACATAAACAATGTGTGCAAAATCATTACAAAACGAATGGTGATTGGCACTAAAATATATAACTCGGTAACTGGGAATTTAATTTACCCTGACCCAAGTGCCTGGACACAAATGCCTGCTTTCACCTGCCTTTCTAATGACTACAGGGCTGGGGCTGATCACATATTGGGGGGAAGGCATATCATTCCAAAGGGCAGGAACAGCTGCTAGAAAGGCACCCCTTGGGTCACACAAGATGACACTGTTTCTAAGAAGAGACGTGAATGCAGCCTTCCTGTTGGGAGTGTATGGGACAGGTAGAAGGTGGTCTCACTAATAAACCAGTCGAATGCTTATAGGTTTTTACAGGAGATAACCAACACCTTGAAATATATCTGGAATCTATAGAGACCTTGTGATATGTACACAATGGAATGGAGTAACTGAAGTTTCCAGGTTTTCAAGGGCAGTTCCATACAGAGGACATAAATTGCAGTAATCCAATTAGGTGATAACTAAATGTGAATGACCATAGTAAGCTCCCCTCCCCAACCCATGAACAGGTGCAACTGGGACACAGAGTGAAATTTTGCAAAGTCACATTTCAGTGCAGGAAGCCCCTCAAATTGTACACTAATGCAAGCAGGGTAGTACAACCCTGACCGGAGTCAAAGATGAAATCTTTCCAGCTCCAGGCCCCGTGAAGGCCAAAACCCACATCTAGATCCTCAGAGCTTAAAGATAGCAGGACCAAACCGTGACAATTTCACTTGAGTGACCCAGGCTCAGAAATGCATAACTATCAACAAACTGGTACTGCATTCTGTGCCCACAAATTAGTAAATCCAACACTTTGTGTAGATGTTAAAAAGGAAATAATTCTGATTAGATTACTTTCCCCTACCTCTATCAATAACTACAACAATCTCTGAAGGAAAGAGAACTACCACAAAACAGTGGCCCCTACACCCAGCCCTCTCTGCCAGTTCAGAAGGATACCATGTTCAATGTATCAAGACTAATGAGAGGTCAAGGAGGGATATCCCCATCCTGAACCAAACTAATTTTCTCTCATCAGAATACCGCCAATCAGTTGTTCTAGGCAATGGAGGTTGCCTCCTCCGGGGAACACTGGAGCCTTCTCTGCCAATCAACTAGGTGGCGGGGATCACCTATTGTCCCCGCCCTATTGGCGGTGAACAGGCGGTGGCGGCGATAGGCAATTCCTGCCTCCTAGAACAGCTGATCAGCAGTATTCCGGGAGGCCGATCCAATCGCCAATCAGCTGCTCAGCAGAGAAGAGTGCAGCGTTCCCTGGCAGAGATAGCAGACACAAGGGAGGCAGGCTGTTTGCCATTTGCTGCAAGGACGCTAGTCAGATAAATACTGAATGGGAGACAGAGGCAGATTTTCTTTTCTTGTTTTCCTCCTCTAAAGCTAATGTGCCTCTTATAGTCTGGAGCGTCTTATAGTGTGAAAAATACGGTACCTAATACTCCTTCCTTCTATTTTCCTCACAACAACAACCATGTGAGGTCAGTTGGGCTGAGAGAGAGGGACTAGCCCAAGATCTCCCATTTGGCTTTCATGCCTAAAGTGGGACTAAAACTCACACCTTCCTTCCCTTTGACTGACCCCTCTATTTACAAGATGATGTGTGGTTAGCATTCATAAGGTAACAAATGAAGGCTACTGCATCCTCCCCATATTATACTTTTAAAAGCACATAAAAATGAATACAAATGTTACACAAAGTAAATCTCAATAAAAGTGAAAAATAAAAAAGAGTGGAGCAAAATTACTTTTTTTTCTTATTTATATGGAGGGAGAAGGCTCTATTTATTGTATTAACAATATTTATTATGAAAACTCAGCAACAATCTTTTCTTTCATCCTTGAAAGAAAAGAAAAACTAAGCATCTTTACACAAATGTTATTTTTTTACCAGTTCTCATATATTTGAAGAATAGATCAACATCAAATAAGATTGGCCTTTCAAAGAAAGATGTAATCAAGGGAAAGTAATATAGTAACTTATATCGTTTACATTTTCTGATTACTTTGCAGTGGAATGAATCATGCTAATATTTTATATAGTCATAAAGGTTCTTCATAAAGAACTGACAAATAGTCAGACTATATATCTCTAGCCACCTGCAACTCTACTGAAATTGTACTGAGTAGATACATTTTACCTGTTTTCCTTTTGCATGTTCTGGAGACTTTAGATGCTGCTGAACAGAACTGTGTAGTGCAGGAACATAGACGCTGCATGCAGAGCAAAGGACAGTCTCAACTTTCATCATATGATCATCAGCCGTAACACCTAGTAAAGACATAACGGATGTCTGAGATTTGGTCAAAAAGAAAACAGGTTCAATATATAAAAAAGAAGCAATATGGATTTTGCAAAGTTAAAAAGGGAACAGCCAAATGGGGACCATTTCCAAGTATTCAATTACTACGTAATATAAAAAAGGGGGAGCAGAAGAAGAAATTACATATAGGTAACTCCTCACAACAGTAATTGGGACCAAAATTTCCACTGCTAAACAATGCAACTGTGAAGTGTGTAACATGACTACACATTTAGCAACAGCAATCCTGGCAGTCTTGGTTATCATCAATAAGTGAGGATTTCAGAACATTAAGCTAGCATCTTTCTTCCTGCTTGCTTTCAACAAGCAAAGGCAACGGAGAAGCCTACAGAAAGTTGCAAGTCCTGGGTGGTTCGCCAGAAGGCCAGCAGGTGGGTACGTGGCTTCTGTGGTACAAGCATGGTCAGAAGTGGATGCTGCATGATGGACACTATGGAATATGGGCATGCATGCACTACAGTGTATCAGATCGCCATGATCTCATACTCCACAGCCAGGCTCTTGGGGGGGGGAGGGGGGGCAAGCAAGAGTGGGAACAGTTTGTGTTCAGTTTGTCATGGTGCTGGGACAGAGTTGGAACTTTGAAAATCTATCATAGATCCCACTTGTTCAGCTCCCTTTGAACGGCTATTGAATGAGTGGTTGTTAACTATCTGCTGTGAGAATGAGAATATTGTGGCCAGTCCACTTGCTGATAATAGAATCAAGAGACAAATATTCAAAACAATTCACTAGTATGCACCATACAACTATAAAATGTATGAGTGATCCCCAAATATATTCTATACAGCTGTGCTAAATTTTTCAGCACTTCTTCCTCATACTGTGAATTCTAAAACCTGTTAATTTTAAGTTTCAAAAACAGATTTCTAATTTTTCCTTCATGCTAATTCGACAGATAAGAACCAATGAATCTTACATGAATTTTTTCAAATCCTCAGAAATCCAAGGATCTAAATCTAAGTTGGAAGAAAAAAACAGGATTGTTTACTTTTGCTTCCTAAGAAGTGACCAAGATTTTACAATTTGACCTTCCAGCATACTGAGGCTATATAGGCTAGAACAGCAGTGTTGAAACAGAACACCTATTTTCATAGGCTACTTGCCTTCCATCACATCTTTTTCAGTTATCTGAGCAGCTTCCATTTGGCTTGTAGTCTGCTGTTTACGCATAGCCGTCTTCTTAAATTTATTCACCATGCACTCCTAAAACAGAAATTAATATAATTTTGGAGGAACTGTAAATTATTTTCACTTATTCCCCAGTCATCTCCTATATTGTGGAATTCTAGATTCAACAGTTATGATTCAAATAACTATGGAATTAGGGAAAGAATAATATAATTTTCTGCAATACTGGAGTCCTGTTCTCTTCATTGCCCACCTTGAAAAATATCACATAAATTGTTTCCCCAACAGAATGCAGGAAAAACCTCAAAAATTGCACAGCCAGAATAAGGCACTTCTACAAATTGCAGTAACAAAAGGCTCTTAGCTTTGTGGCTGTGAATAGACCTGGCAATCCTATCACATGATAGACGATGATCAAATGGCACTATGAAGAATATAAAGGTAAAAATATGTGACTAAATAACCAACCAAGCATTGGATTTAGCAGTGAGATGAACGGTGCAGGAGGGCAGAAAGTGAATTTATCATCCGAGCTCGATTTCAGGAAATAAATGTTTTAGGATGACAACATTAGAAGAGCAAACATTTTCAACATGCGCACAATGAACCTCATCATTTAAAAACACACTGTAGAAATATTTCTTAAACAGATAATAGCTATGCTTGGCTTTACACCAGTCTATTGTTTATGATGATGTTTTTTAACCCAGAAGATTAAACTGTTAATCGAACTGGTTAGCTGAATTTACAGAATTAAAATAACTACTCACATGTAGAAACTCCATCACAACTTTGTCAAATTTGGTCTGTTTCCGAATGTGCTCTAAAGTCTCCTGGTGTACAACACTTTCAAGATGAGCTTCAATGTCTTTCTCTTCAAAGGTTCGAAATTTACAGAATGAGCAGGTGAATGCCATTCTAGCAGAAGATACAGGCACATTGTCAGTGCAACATGTAGAAAGTTTAATGGAATCAGGAGAACTAGATATTCTGATTAATGAAATTATCTTATCAAGCATTTAAACACTAATGAAAATGCATCCCTGTACTTAACATCTTTCAACTACATGACAAATGTAGCCATCGTAATGAGATTGTGAGTTAGTGTTTTGAAGATCGCAACAAGTTTATGGACAAAGCGAAATTTGAATCTAAAATTTCCTGGCTCAAACCTTTAGCTACCATACTAGCTTATAAAGCAAAATAAAACTCTGTAATGCATTTTTTTTAAAAAGAGGGTTACTTAGTCTGAACTGTAAGAAACCAGACAACCACCAGATGGCACCAGAAGGCTAGAATTTTCTTCTCTCTTTGCTATCTAGATTTTTACAGATCAGATCTAGTAGCATCAGAAAAAAGTATCATTAACAAAACCACTCTTCACTATTTAATCTAAACAATTAAGATGACTCCTCAAAATGGCTTACGGGCATTCTATTCTTGTCGAAGATTTCTTGGGGATTTCAAAATATTTCCTGCATCTAATGGCTTATTATGCCCATAAATCATCCTTCTCTACACCCAGCAAAACCCCAGATATATGCAGACATGATAGAATAAGTACTGAGATTTGAATAGACAACACCATGAAACAAACAGAGCCAAGGCAGTTTAGAGCAAGTACTATTGTTTGATACATGCCCTTAAATTATGGGTGGGACAAATTCACAATATTTCCTCTACAAACCTGTAACCATCACCATACTTTTCACTATTTTTCTCCCTCCTACGCCTTTGCTTCTCTCTTCTTGCCTCAATTCGACGTTTTTCTTCTTCTTCATTTTTTACTTCTGGCTTGACGCCTAAAAACAATTAAGAGTTAAATAAATACTTAGGTTCTAGACTTTAACCAAGGGAAAATTTGAACTTACCCTACTACCTTTCAGCATTATTTAGAATATCTTAAGGAGGGATAATTTATGCCATATGGGATGATGGCATCTATTACGATGCTGTTGAATTAAAAGGAAAAAATGCAATTTTTAACACTTTGTGATACATGTTATGTTAAGGGGCCATATTCACTGGAATAATATCTAGAATTGAAGTCCAGCCTTAATGTGACAAAATAATAAAGGCATTAAGTAAATGCTGAGAATAACAATGGGAGATCGCCTCAAATGGTGGGGCTATAATTACCATAATTTCATGTTTATTGTTAGATAAAATTTGTTAAAACTAAATATTTGCCGGTTTTATTGTGAAGACAGCTTGCAGAAACAGACAAGAGAATGCATGTAAGATAACCCAAAACAAAACAAAACAAAAAGGGGAACTTCTGCTGTGACATAGCCCTACGTGGCCTAGTACCAGGCTATTTGACGATCTGCCTCTAACCACATCTACCTGTCCCACCAGGTCCAGCAGGAAGGGGGTGCTCAAGGTCCTGTCTGCTAAAGAGGTCCATTTGGCAGGACCCAAACAACATGCCTTTTTTACTATGGTTCCCACCCTGTGGAACATCATCCCCCATTAAGGTGAGGTTAGTCCCATCCTTGTTAGCCTTTCGGAACGACCTGCAGGTATGTGTTTCAGCACATATGGAGATCCCATGGTTGTATTATGTCTAATGGGATGTTTTTATCCTGCACGCTTTTATTTTTGAAATGTTTTTATGGTTGTGTTAGTTGTATGCTGCACAGTCTTACATTCGGTGAGATGGACAGCTCTACAAAAATTTGTTAAATAAATAAATCAGAAATAGACCTCCTAATTTTCCCTACATGGCTAGGGAAAATCAACATACGTATTAAAATGTATAACATTTCTTATTTTTCCAAACATCTGATTGAATGCCAGAAAAAGTAACTTCAGTATTTTTCTCTATTTAAGGCACTGCCTTCTTATAAGGAAGGCAAGCTTTCAGTCCATATGTCAAATGGAGGTTTATTTGTGGATCTGGACATGATTTTCAAGCAGCCAAACAGCTGTTCCCTCTTACTTGTCACTTTGAAATAAAAGTCTACCTTATTAAAAACAGGTATTAAATGAGCTATCAATTTCCCAATTGACAAAGCCATCTAACGTGGAACTAATAACTAAAGCATTACACAAATATTTTTTGGAAATGACTGTACAATTTCCATTATCTAGGCATGAGCAGAAAGAATATATGAATCTAATAGCAGAGAAATTGGGAAAGCTTTCTGATTCCCATTGGTTGAACAAGAGACACATACCTCTATCAACTGTCACAAATTATAGTTGAAATTAAGAAAGCTTAGGATGACCAATACAGATAATCCTCGACTTACAACCACAATTGAGCCCAAAATTTCTGTTGCTAAGCAAGGCAGATGTTAAATGAGTTTTACCCTATTCTACACCTTTCTCCATACAGCAGTTAAGTGAATCACTGCAGTTGTTCAGTTAGTAACATGGTTGTTTAATGAGCCTGGCTTCCCCATTTACTTTGTTTGTCAAAAGTTCACAAAACATGACCCCATGCCCCCAGGGCACTGCAACCTTCATAAATAGGAGTCAGTAACCAAGCGTCTGAATTTTGATCATGTGACCATGGGAATGCTGCAATGGTCGTAAGTGTAAAAAACAATCATGTCATTTCTGTTCAGTGCCATTGTAACTTTGAACAGTCACCAAACGAATTTTTCTATAAGTCGAGTGCTCTCTGTACTGAATTCGTTGTGGAAAAAAACTGAGTTTCATTTGAATATACTAACAAATTAACAGCCTTCAATTCTTTAGTATTAAGAATCTGTATCTTACATCAGGCTTTAGTTAATGAGTCTTCGATTCCTTTTAAAAGATAAGAGAGATACATAGGCCTGCCTGGTCATACACTGCAACATGTAGCAGCAAAAGCACTCTATTTTACAGAACAAACAGCCCTATTCTAAAGCGGCGTCTAAACCTAAGCGCTATTGTTATTAGCATATATAACCTAGCCAAAGCACAGGGAACTGCTAACCTAAAAGCCTTGGTGCCCTTAGAGATTTTGAATCCAGCCTGCAGCCTTACAATTTTCTCTGTAACAGAGAAAATAGAATAGAAAATAAATAGAATAGAATTCTTTATTGGCCAAGTGTGATTAGACACATAAGGAATTTGTCTTTGGTGCATATGCTCTCAGTGTACAGAAAATATATATATACATTTATCAGGAATCATAAGATAGGTACTAAATAAGCAATCAAATCATACTAGGAAACTATATAAAACAATATAAATAGTGAAAAGGTTATAGTCACTGGTGAGATTCAGCTAGTTCGCACCAGTTCGGAAGAACCATCTTTTAACTGATTGTGGAGTTCTGCGAACTGGCTGAATATTCAAGGCTGCCTGCCTGTCTGCCGATTCCAGTAGCTCACGCACACCTCAGATGTTCCAGTGTGTTTGTAATTAAGGAAGGGAAAAGAAAAGGAAGAAATAACCCCATAGCCATTTCCTCAGCAGAAAAATTCTAGCCTCTTTAAAACTCAAGGGAGGAAGTAAAGTTTCTATCCGGCATTCAGGTGCCTTGCAAAATAGCTAGACTCCTTCCTCTCTATGACAGTGCCTCAAATATTGGAATACTGCTATCATGTCTCCCCTGGTCCTTCTCTTCACTAGACTAGCCACGCCCAGTTCCTGTAACCATTCTTCCTATGTTTTAGTCTCCAATCCCCTAATCATTCTGATTGCTTTTCTCTGCACTTTTTCTAGTGTCTCAACATTTTTTTTGTAGTGTGATGACCAAAATTGGATGCAGAATTCTAGGTGTGGTCTTACTTCCGTTGAAGTCTGTCTCTGTCTTGTTTGGTAGCAGAGCCAAAATAGAGTTATAGAGGTACAGATGACAGTGTCAATAATTCCTCTGTAGAACTCAATCAGCAGCTCCTTGGGCAGTTTGACCTTTCTGAGTTGGCGCAGAAAGAACATTCTTTGTTGCAGTTTTTCAATGAGGTTTTTGATGTTAGGTGTCCATTTTAAATCTTGAAATATGACAACCTAGAAACGTGAAGATTTCTCTATTAATATGTATAATATGTATGATCCTGTGTTGTCTAGTATTGTAAGAGGTGNCGCTATTGTTATTAGCATATATAACCTAGCCAAAGCACAGGGAACTGCTAACCTAAAAGTCTTGGTGCCTTTAGAGATTTTGAATCCAGCCTGCAACCTTACAATTTTCTCTATAACACTAAATATAATAGAATTATTTATTGGCCAAGTGTGATTACACACACAAGGAATTTGTCTTTGATGCATATGTTCTCAGTGTACAGAATATATATATATATATATATACATTTATCAGGAATCATAAGATACAGTACTTATTTATAGGTACTAAATAAGCAATCAAATCATACTAGGTAACTATATAAAACAATATAAATTGTGAAAAGGTTATAGTCACTGGTGAGATTCAGCTAGTTCGCACCAGTTCGGAAGAATCATCTTTTAACTGATTGTGGAGTTCTGCGAACTGGCTGAATATTCAAGGCTGCCTGCCTGCCTGTCTGCCGATTCCAGTAGCTCACACACACCTCAGATGTTCCAGTGTGTTTGTAATTAACCAAAGGAAGGGAAAAGAAAAGGAAGAAATAACCACATAGCCATTTCCTCAGCAGAAAAATTCTAGCCTCTTTAAAACTCAAGGGAGGAAGTAAAGTTTCTATCTGGCATTCAGGTGCCTTGCAAAATAGCTAGACCCCTTCCTCTCTATGACAGTGCCTCAAATATTGGAAGGCTGCTATCATGTCTCCCCTGGTCCTTCTCTTCACTAGACTAGCCATGCCCAGTTCCTGTAACCGTTCTTCCTATGTTTTAGTCTCCAGTCCCCTAAACATTCTGATTGCTTTTCTCTGCACTTTTTCTAGAGTCTCAACATTTTTTTTGTAGTGTGGTGACCAAAATTGGATGCAGAATTCTAGGTGTGGTCTTACTTCCGTTGAAGTCTGTGTCTGTCTTGTTTGGTAGCAGAGCCAAAATAGAGTTATAGAGGTACAGATGACAGTGTTAATAATTCCTCTGTAGAACTCAATCAGCAGCTCCTTGGGCAGTTTGACCTTTCTGAGTTAGCGCAGAAAGAACATTCTTTGTTGCAGTTTTTCAATGAGGTTTTTGATGTTAGGTGTCCATCTTGAAATGGTGTAAATCTTGAAATATGACAACCTAGAAATGTGAAGATTTCTCTATTAATATGTATAATATGTATGATCCTGTGTTGTCTAGTATTGTAAGAGGTGGTAGTATAGGAGGGTTTCTCCTAAAATCAACCACCATTTCTATGGTTTTGAGTGTTTAGTACAAGATTGTTCCGGTCACACCATAAGGCTTGTTCAATATCCCATCTGTATGCAGAATCGTCATTGCCTCGAATGAGATCACTGTTCTATCATCTGCAAACTTCAGTATTTTAATCCAGGGATCTTTTGAGATACAGTCATTGGTATATAGAGAGAAGTGGAGAGAGCACAGCCCTTGGGGGACAGGGGGCTGTGCTAATTGTACAGGTATCTGATATGATTTTGCCTAGCTTCACCTGCTGCTTTCTGTCTGTTGGGAATAGCAATAGCAATAGCAGTTAGACTTATATAC